GAGACCACCTATTGCGTTTACGAGTTGATACGGATCGTGACTCGTGTTTACGGTCCGTACGAATTTGACGGATCGTGAAGCTGCTTCACGATCCGTATCATGTCGACAGTATTGGACATGTATGAATTTGTTTTGGCCGTCGTCGTGGTGTTGCCGTCCTACATGCTTAAGCTCGCTATTACCGGATATTACCGGATACCATAAAAACATGGTAACAAAACAATGTCCGGTGTTAGAACTAGCCAATCAGATGCCAGTTCGGAATATGGATTTGGCCAGAGCCCCTCGTCGCACCGCGCGTAAGAAGGGCTCTGGGTATGAGAATGAATTAGAACTCACTTCACTCAAACTCCTCGCTATTAAACTCGAACTAATTTCATTTTCCCTTGCTCAAATTACCCGGTTACCTCGAACTGTACTTTTGAGATGTGGATCGGCAAACTTCAAAATGTTAAAATATAGCACACCGGTCACTGACAAGTCGGAATCTTGGATTTATATTGTCCTTCGCTACGTAGCGCCGCCGTGCGGAGGTAAAGACTGGTGCCCACACACTAGAACTCCACTATAAACAATGACTAATGGTTGACTCAACTTGTTGATCCTTTTAAAAGACCCTGGCTTGCGAGGTTGGTGTGCATGTGGCTGTTTTTTATAATGCAGTTAAGATTTACACGAAAATGTGGTGTAAAGAAATATTGAGTAAATTCATGTATTTTGCGCAAATTACCAATCAGGGCAAGATTGAAAAATACGCCTGGCTTGAAAGATGTTTTTCAAGCTTGCCCAAAGATATTTTTCAAGCTTGCCCTGTGTGGATATACACTCAGAGTAAGGGACGGACCATTTGATTTTTGAGGGGAGGGGGGTGTGTCGGAAGATTCACACTGTGAATGGTTGAGGGGGGGGGGGGTTGGAAGATTCGCACTGTGGGAACAAGACAGATATGTTTAGTCCTGTAAAAGTGCAGCGCAACATATTTTTTTCCCAATATATTTCGTGGCAGGATATTTTTTTGCCTCTCATAATAACGGCTTACAGTAACTTAAGGCTTTCATATAACTATCGTCAGAGACGTTCTGACGTAGCCGGGGTTTTCAGGCAGAGGAGGCCGAGAACTGAATCCCAAGAGGGGCCAAGGAATTTTCACTGTGCTTTATTTTATATGCTAATAGGTCTTAATGTTCCCCACACTAAAGCGTGCAGGTTTACTTATAAAAAATGTATAACTGCACCAAAACCCAAAACATGCAGGGATAGAGTAGAGAGTACTCGAAAATGGGGGAGGTACAGTATATGAATGACCTGTAACCTTGGGGGGTTCGGGGGCATGCTCCCCAGAGAAAATTTTAAAATTTGAACCTCGGAAATGCTATTTCCTGCGTTTTCAGCCATGGATTCGTCCAACAACTTTACTGTTTAAGGAGCACTTACTGTCCCTTATTTTAAACGAGAGAATTCGAAAATCACAAAATGAGCTTTGATTAATATGTAATAATTTTTAACAAGATTTAAATAATGCGATTTTTAACTGCCCTCCGAAACAACAATGTTCCACCAAGGGGGGAGGGGGGCAACAATTTTGCCAGAGAACGCCACTGGCTATCGTATGTTATAGGCTCCAAAGGCGGTAGAATCCCTGTGATGTTGTCCACTGTTCACTCCGTGTTCTTTTACGCAAATGTGCCTGCTCAAAAATGCAAATCTTGCAAGCCTGTGGACACAATACTGAAGTGAAGAAAGTCAGTAGATTTACATGTAGGAATTATTTTTGAGCGCTCTCTTTTGCATATTTTTTTCTCTCGATTGTATGCTGCATGATTTTTTTTTCTTTCTCCTTGGATTGCAGGAAATTTTTTTTCGAAATCTTCCAACCCCCACTCTCAAAAATCAAATGGTGCGCCCCTAACATCACAAACATCATATTCACCTGAGTACATAACACCAACATTAAAAAAATCATGTTTAACAAGTCATCCGTCCATTCGTATCCGCCGCCCGTGACGGCTTGCACAAGTCTCAAAATCTTCCCCAGCTTGATTGGGGTTAAAAAGTAAGCACTAACAGACGCTTAGAGTAGAAGTGAGGTTAGATATGATGAAATACAATCCAAATAAGATGCACTTTATATATAGGTGTACTCTATATATAGAGCTAGGTATATTGTAGAAAGCTTGATTGAGATAAAGTAAATTTTTCTTTTTTTAGAAGAAAGTTCTATTTTTCTATTCATTACAAATAATACTTACATTATATGAAAATTGCTCTAAATACAATTCAGACCAGTGGCGAGATCGGAGCATAAACTGATCGAACCCTTCTTGAAAATTTGCGATTTCTACGGTCTCAATAGCGGCACTATAGTTGCTACATTTTCAGCGAGAGGTGGTTAGGATTGAAAGTAGAGCTGTTGTCGTTTGGATCTTAGGAATGTTCTCCTTGGATTTAGAACAATTGTTGCGGGGTCTGCCCCTCGAGGCCATTGTCTACGTACCGCCTATCCTTGCCACTAATTTAAACAGCATTGATTTACATCGATATTTGCTCTAAGAACTATCGTTAAGAGCCTCTAAGAACTACTGACTTTGCTCAAAGAGCGTTACGTGCTAAAATTCTAATGATTGTACGAAAATTAATGAAGACTATGGGTCATGCTTTACTACTAATTTTAAGTCTACATATGAATTTGATATTTACATGATGATAAATGAATTACTATATTGTATATTAAATTAAGTAGTACTACAAGTGCTTATCTACCGAACCACATCCTTCAGTGTTTGTATAAGAGTGTTAATCTAATATACACATGTTTTCCGTGCCTGTTAATGAAGATTCTGTTCTGTTCTGTTTTTCCTGCGAGGAATCACAAAGGGCTGCAAAAAATATATGGTATATGGTATAAGAACTTGGCGACTTTGATGCGACGATGGATAGTGTTCAAGTGGCAATAGTCTACAAGTGGCAAAGATAGTCTACAAGTGGCAAAGACACACTAAAGCCTGGTTCACACGATGAAATAAGCATAAGCATAAGCATAAGCATAAGCATAAGCATAAGCATAAGCATAAGCATAAGCATAATCAAGCGGAAGCTTTGATGTGCATAAGCATAAACATAAGAAGAACAAATGTTGCGTTCTTCTTATGCTTACGTTTATGCACATCAAAGGTTCGCTGCTTGTGCTTATGCTTATTTCATCGTGTGAACCAGGCTTAAGTGTGTCTTTGCCACTTGTAGCTGGATGAAAAGCCTTATCTGGTTTTACAACCCAATGGACAAAGGTCTCCAAGTAAATATACTATAGCTAATTCAATAAAGGTTATTCTTTGCAAACCTAAACCTTAAGGCCCTGTTACACTATTGCGTATGAGAGAAACGTACTATAAAAAGCGTATGAAAATTAATGAAATAATTTTCATACGCACAAAAATCCTTTGAAATGCCAGCGTATGAGCGTATTCAGCGTGTGCCTAGAGTATACTTATCGTATAAACTATACGTCCGAATACGCACAAAATTTTTGAGCATGCTTAAAAAAAATTCTGCCTCGCCGTATGCCAGCGTATGCATGCCACCGTATGCGACCGTGCTTGAAACGTATACAACCTATGCCCGACGTAACCCTAGCGTATGTCAGCGTATATATACCGGCGTATATGAGTGATATTTTTCATACGCTGGCATACGCTAGTACGATACGCAATAGTGTGACAGGGCCTTTTAAACTCTAAGCGTGCAAAGCATAATGGGAGCATCATTTAATCAGTTTAGAAATCATATATGGCGGCTATTTCTTAGAGACATGGTAAATATCTCCTTTCGATAACAATTCAATCACAAATAGCTGCAATATTTCAACTACTAAGCTTGAAACTTGTGCTCCCAGTTTAAAATGTCTTAAGACCGGATGAAACGAAGATAAGAGTGCATGAGAGTTGGCAGTCACGTGACCTTGGTCGGCTGTTCTTAATCCCAACACTGTCATGTATTTTATTTAAGTTAAAACGTAATTTAAACACTTACTACAGTATATTAAATTTCTATTTACGGTATCTTGTTAATCTAATGCTTGCAATGTCCCCCGTAACAATACTAGATTTCCCTTATTACGTTTTTGTAGTACTTTGCATTGTGGTTATAGTGGTATCACTGATATTCAAAGAGGGCTTATTTTTGTCCTGACCCGTGCAAGAACTTTTAAAAAAAACTCAGGTGCGCGATAGCCAACAGCAAGATATTCGCGAAAACATTCAATATTTTCATTCGAGGCCGCTATCTTTATCAGTGATACCACTATAACCACAATGCAAAGCGCTACGAAAACGTAATAAGGGGAATCATCAATTCGTGACAACAATATGTGAACTCTCAATACGTGAATATTGATCGAGGCTTACGGGTTAGTTTTTAGAGAGGGACGAAATTGTACGCATGACCATCTCTTGCATGCAGTAACAGTGAACTAGTGAAGCATCAACAAAAAATGTTCCAAACTTACTGTGCTGGGTCTGGTTCGTCATCGTCACCATCAAGCGTCATTGGTGCAAACGCCAAATTACCATCATTCCGAAGTAGCTGGGTGTCGACCAGTACTTCTACCAATACCTCGTCTAAAACTGACTCTGTCAAAATTTACAAAAGATTTTTGGGTAAAGAATTCTAACATATGCGATGTAAGGCAGTCATACATGTCCGCGGCTTAAAGAGGAACTCGCGTCAGCCGTATTTGTGCTTTCTTTGCGTTATCTTACGATTATGAACGGTTAGAGCAATGACATATCTTATTTGAATCGAGCTTAACACAAATTTTATTGATTGTACAACCAAATCATGGTCATTCAGCTAACATTGTTTAGATTCCACTATTGCTGCTTGATGCAATGTAACGGCAATGGCCGTCGACAATACCGCAAAAAATGAAATTATCCGCAGCAATTTTTTGCCAACATGCAGTTATCAAGTACTTATCACTTTCTATACGCTACAAAGGAATCTATCGAAGACATTAAAACAAATTAATTTCATGTAGCTAATTCTATGGATCAATATTACAATCAGGTTTCAAAATTCAAAAATCCATTTTTAGCTATATTAATATATATAATTGTTTTTAAAATTGTAAGGACTGTTGGTTGGTTTCAAAACTTATCAAGTTACCTGAAGTGTCAGAAAACGTCGGATCTTGCAGCAATTCCTTAGCCGTTGGCCGTTTCTCGCTATCAGGATGGAACATACGTTTCAGTAACTGCTTTGTTTCCTCAGAGCAATTATTTGGTATTTCTGGAATTTCCCCAGAGCCAACCTATATCAAAACAGATCCAATTCAAAATATTGTTTTGTTGCAAAACCGCCGTTGGCATGTAAAGATAAATTGCCGTCGTATTTTAGTTTACCTTTTCCGTATACAATTAATCAATTACGATTCCCAGCAATCCTTTCGCGCTCATGTTCGACTTTTCCGCTTCGCTCGGGGACCACCGCAGGGCTTTATCCAAGCACTTTTGTTGACCCCCGTTTTAGAAAAGAAGATTCAGTTTTTGTGACGCACGAATGTAGCCCTGGGAGTCAAGGGGCAAAGTCCCTGAAAGCTTTTTCTATTTCAACATATCTTAGACTATGTTGCCATCACGTTGCTTGAATGTAACCGCGTGATTTGTGAATGATGTAATCTTATGTAAACATTGCGCAATACAAAGAGGCCATGCATCGATGTGGTCGTATTCGAGCCTATTTTTTCTGCGGCTTTTTCACTCTTCCAGCTCAAGATTGTGTAAATTTCTTTAATCATCCCATTTCATTTGTGCTGATTGGATCGAAATATTTATCAGAAATCCAAACATGCACGCCATCTAAGCATGGTGGGCACAAGACACAAAATATACGATAGAGGTAGCTTTATAACATAAACACGTCGTTTTATTTTGAAAAAAAAACCCAGCTCAAATAACCCTGTTTCTCGGAATTCCAAAACCTAAAGCGTGTGAAAGTGATTTTTTCGTTTTTTTTTCCTTTTCGTTGGGGGAAAGATTCAGTTTAAAAACTCAATCCAAGATTGAGTTTTGACCGCCGTTTACCAGAGGTCAGTTGGGGCGTGGATAAAGCCCTGCCACCTTAATTGAAATAGCTGTATATATATTATTTAATATTGATCTATATAGAGGATGAACTGAATCATTCTCTTCTAACCTTGAACATAACAGCATGCGCTTCATATCCTGCCCACGGATGGGAACCAGTCAGCAAATATTTCCAGACACCAGCAGCTTCGTAAATGTCAACACTTGCTCGATATTCCCCACCACAAAATAACTCTTTGGGCATGTAAGGCACTGTACCACGAATGCCGATATTTGAGGTTTTGTCCCTACGATCCACAGCCAATCCAAAGTCGCCGACTTTTATGTCGTTATTACCAAATAAGATGTTGTCAGCTACAGAAATAATTATCAATATAATTACTAAATAATTGAACATACTGCTACATGTAATTGAATTGTCCTCACTTGAAACTCGCAACCCCAAAACGCGTAAAAAGCACAATGGACGTGGATATATGTTTCTTTTCTTACACTTGTTTTGAGCGTTGCATTTTGCCCAAGAATGTTCCCACGCCCAAATTCACAATTTATCGATAACATTTTTATATTTATGATATTAAATAAAAATGTTATTGATCTTTGGAGTTTCACTTGTTTTGTATTTTCTAGATAAATTGTTCCAACAATTTGATAAGATATCTCACTTTTTCTTTCTTTAATTAAATCGACAAAAAGATCAGTGTGCAAAAACTTACGTTTTATATCAGCGTGGACATATCCATCATCATGCATAAAAGCAAGAAATTTTAAAATTGGTTTCATCAGAGCTACCGCTCTCCTCTCATCGATATTCAGGAATTCACGGTTGTCAGCGATGTATTTAAGCGTACCTGTTTAAACAAGATCATATGTTCTTATGGGAAATTGTCAGAGATTGTATATAAGGTGAAGAAAAATTAGCACTCTTTATAATTATATATGACAATGACGTAATTTTACCAAATAAGGTCATGAGAACATGAAAATCTAAGAGCGGGTTACACGGTAAAAATCCGTCTCGCCGTCGTCTAAACCGGTTTTTTCTAGATATGACGAAGCAAAAATCCGCGTGAAAAACTTCAAAAAGACACAGACTGTGGAAAAACACTAGGTCAAAGGCCGCGAGGAAAGCCATCAAATAAACTTTTCAATATTTATAAAAGCATTTCCAAGATTTGAAAAAGTAAATGAAGATAACAAAAGTACGAATTATTTTCATTAAGAAATGCACAATAAATCATGCACATGCAAAACTATATATATAAACACTGTCCTTTTTATATAATTATTTTATAATTCTTCATTTAAATGGGTTTAAACTTTTCCGTGCGTATACTGAACGTAAAAAAACTGCACGTATTAATGCCTACTTATAAAATGGATATACTTTCACGAACCTTCCATAAGCTCCATAAAGATGTAAACATGTTTCCCATCATCATACGCTCCCAGGAGTGTCACCACATTCTGGTTTGAAGACAACACTGACCATA